TTAGTCGCCGAATATGCTTTTTCCTGTAGTGTATATTGAGTTTAATTCATTTATTTTTAATCATTTACTGCATTTTAAAAATTTAGAAAATATATTGGCATTTTTTGTTTTTCCAAAAATGCCATTATAAGCTTGAAAAGTTTTTGGCTTAGTGACATTTCTCAAATGTTATAAAATATTTGTTTATGACACTTTTCACCTAAGTGCCATAAAAAGTAATTTGCACCTACCTAGTGTCCTGACATTTTTTAAAAAATGCCATTGCAACTAAAGTTTAGTGGCATCTGTTGGTAAATGTCACAAACATAATTTTTTGTGCCATTATTTTATAAAATGTCATAAAATTGATATGACATTTCTTTATTGAAATGCCACTAGAGCCTTATATGTATTGTGGTTCTATGGCATTTTTCTAAAACATTTAATGCCAATTTTTATTTTTGTGGCATTTTCTAAAAACATGCTACTAGTGTAGTGTCACTAAAGCGTAAATTTGTTGTAGTGACATTTTTGTTGTAGTGAAGTGACACTTTTTTTAATTGAAATGCCATTAGAGCCTTGTATGTTTGTGGCTCTATGACATTTTTCTAAAAAATGCCACCAAATATTCTTTTTGTGACATTTTTTAAGAACTTGCCACTAGTATGGTGTCACTAAAATATGTTTTTGTTGTAGTGTTGTGACACTTGTTCATTAAAATGTCACTACAGCCTTTTATGTTTGTCGTTTTGTGGCATTTTTCAAAAACGTGCCACTAAATATCATTTTTGTGGCATTTTCTAAAAATATGCCACTAGTGTAGTGCCACGAAAGTATGTTTTTGTTGTAGCTTTGTGACACTTGTTCATTGAAATGTCACTAAAGCCTTTTATGTTTATCGTTTTGTGGCATTTTTCAAAAACGTGCCACTAAATATCATTTTTTGTGGCATTTTTTAAAAATATGCCACTAGTGTAGTGCCACTAAAGTATGTTTTTGTTGTAGTGAGTATTTTTTAATTAATGAACACTCAGAAATAAATTAAGAAAACCAAAATTAATTTCTGAAAAAATTCCACAAATAAATATTCTGAATTGTTAATGACACTAGTATATTACTACTAGTTGTCAAAGAAAATAGACAGTATATTACTACTATCTGTCAAATAGTATAAAATCACTATTTGTTTTTCCAACCAGAATATTATTTTGTAAATCCACAGAAAATAATTTTTGTTAAAGAAGAAAGAGAAAGGGAAACAAATGAAAAATTCTGCAAACAAAATAATTTGAATCTGTCTTAAGATTGTTGGAACAATCTTCTGTGTAAATAAAATAAATTGAAACAAAAACAAATAAATAAATAAATAACATACCGAAATTATTTATCGAACCGAATTAAAAATTAAAGACCAAGTCGAGTATGTGACACTCTGTCTTTAAGACAGATTCACCTCGCTATGGTACTTACGGTTATGTGGTGTTTATCTTCCAGGATACAATGATCTTCACAAATTTGTAGTAGTACTCCAAACAAATTTGTCCGGCGAACTTGAATCTTGTGTTCAATACTCTCTTTAATTTTCTTTAAAACTAGAATGAAGAATAAATAATGCAAAGGAGAAAATAAGATAGTAAAATGAATTTTTCCTGACTGATTTTTTAACCCAAAAGATTGCTGGAAAAGCAGATATTTATAGGCACAAAAATACTGACCGAATAGTTTCCATTTTTGAACATGAACAGGTGCAAAAACTGAACAGATTCAGTGACAGTTTCAAACTGTAACTGCTGGCAGTTAATTCTGTAAATTGCTGGCAGTTTTCAGCAGTTAAAAACCTGTTAGACCTCAATTTAAATCTGTTCAAAACTGCCTGGGAAGATTTAAACCTGTTCTGAACAGAAAATTAATCTGTTCAGGTTCAAACAGATATAAGACCTGTTTGGACTATATAATTTGTCTGAATAGTGCATTGTGTAAACTCAATCTGTGTAACTACAGTAGATTTGAGCAGTTAATCTATTGGAATTTTTGAGCTGAATGAGATAAAAAATGGACAGATAATTAATTTAATTTTTGGCACAAACTTGGAATTTAATTTCATTAAGAATTTCTGGAAGCAATTCAAATAAACTTTATCCAAAAATTAATATTAGAACTGACTAGACCCACAACCCCTACCCGTGCCCGGCATGGCTCCGTTCGGCCGAACGGACAGCGGTGGCGTGTGCGCGCGTGTGTGGTGGTTTGGGCTATGGTTAATTTTGGCCATAACTCCTTCCTTCTACAAACTTAGGGTGCCCCTTGGGGCCCAACCCAAGTGTTATAGTCTAGAGTTTATATACATAAAAAAACTCTCTTAAAGTTTCAATGTGGAACAACCCATAAAAAGGAAACCCACATTTAAATCTTTAAATGTCCATTCCACGAACCCGAAAATGACGTCAACTTCCATTCACTCATAAATGGTTTTGACGAACCGTCTTCACTGTGTGACTTATCACGCGGCAAGGAATACGTCACCTGTTCGGACTCGCCCCAAAAGACGTTTGGGGCCCACTCAATTTTAGGCTCAAAGTTAGCCCAAAATAAGCCTAATAAAACTAATTTTCCAACAAGTATATCCCAGATGATTCTGCCAAGATGATTGAGCTTAAAACTATACCACTATGTAAGAAGATCAGGTAACAAACCAGGATCCAAGTTAATCCCCACTAATTTAGAATGTCAGACCAAACCTTCCATGAGTGTGGACAAAGGAGAAGAAGATGATTAGGGGTTTCAACATCAAGTTCGCAGAAGGCACATAGATAAGAAGTAGGGATAATGTTCTAGAGAAAAGAAAATCAGACGTGGCAATTCGGTTCCACCAGGTCAACCAACCAAATGCTTTAATTCTGGGAGGAGCGACAAATTTCCAGATTCTCATTGCTGAAAATGATGGAAGATTCAAAGAAGACTCGAAAATAGAATAGAAGAATTTAATGGAAAATTCGCCAGGATTAGAAGGTGCCCAAACAATTGAATCCTTGCAACCTGGTCTGAGAATTGCAGAATGAGTGATACGGGTGATCATCTGGTGATGTAACTCCTTCTCCTATGCTCTTAGACCTCTTCTATAATCTGAATAGATGAAATGGCAAGCAGTTCATTTCTCAATAAATTATTGACATTTGAATCTTTTGAGAGAGCCAAGTTGAAAAGCCTGGGATAAAGGATTAAGAGTGGTTCATCCGTGGCCCACGCATCCTTCTAGAATTTGAGCCTAAAACCGTCATTTAACTTAAAGATGGAATTGGAAAATAGGAGATTGAGCATTTGAGAGTTACCATGTTCTAATGACATGATAGCTTTTGAAGTGGAGGAGTATCTAGTAAAAAAGGAGGAGATTGGGGACCAAGAGGATTGATCAATATTGTTTTTTATGCAAAGAACCTTACGCCAAATAGAGTAATTTTCAGAAATGAATCTCCACCACCATTTAGAAAGAAAAGACTCATTACATTCAATAGTCTTTCTCAATCCGAGCCCACCAAATTGTTTACTTATAGAGCATGCATCTTAGTTTAGAAGGTGAACTTTTTTCTTCGAGTCACCATCACCCCAAAGAAAGGATCTTTGGATCTTGTCAATCTCATTAGCAAACTTGACTGGAATCTTGAACATAGGCATGTAATAAAGGGGAACTAATGCAAGAACCGATTTGATTGAGGTAATTCTTTTGCCAAGAGATAGATACCTCATTTTCCATGAAGAGAGTCTTTTCTTTATTTTATCAATGACCGGATCCTAGGTTTTTATGCTCCTAGGATTGGCACCAAGTGGTAGCCCAAGATAATTAATTAGAATTGTTCCGACCTTACATTTGAAGAAAATGGCAACCAATGAAGTAAGATCATTATTAACACCAACCCCAAAAAGTGTTGATTTTTAGAAATTTATCTTTAGGCCCGAGACAAGGTCAAAACATCGAAGTATTCTTTTGAGATTGATGATCTCATTCCAATCAGGATTGCAAAAAATAAGGGTATCATCTACAATCTAAAGATATGAGATGATAAGATTCGAGGATCCAATATTCACTCATTGAATCAGATTGAGACACTGGGCCCTATTAAGCAAGCTATTGAGTCCTTCAACAGCCAAATTGAACAGAAAATGGGAAAGTGGATCTCCATGCCTGAGTGACTTCCTTTATAGGAGAGCCATTCACCAGAACAGAGATGCTAAAGGATGAGATACATTCAGAAATCCAAGAAATCCACTTGTCCCCAAAGCCAAATTCATGTAACATATGAAGGATGAAATTCCAATTAACACAGTCAAAGGCCTTTTGGAAGTCTGATTTGAGTAGAAATCCTCCGCTTGAACTATTCTTCCATAAGTTGACAACTTCATTTGCGATAAGGACCCCATCCAAAATCTTTCTGCCTTTTACGAAAGCCGATTGAGTCTCAGCAATTAATTTTGGCAGTAGAGGTTTCATTCTAGTTGACAAAAGCTTGGAGATTAATTTATATGAGTAGTTAATCAAACTGATAGGCCTGCAGTCTGAAAGAGATGATGGATTGGGAATCTTTAGAATTAAAGTTAGGAATGAGGAATTGATACCTCCAGCAAGTTTGCTATTTTTGTGGAATTCATTGATGAATGCACAGAAATCATCATTGATGATAAACCAATATTTCTTGGTGAATGACATGTTGAATCCGTCCGGGCCCCGGGGCTTTATTTACGTCACAATCCTTTAAAGCTTCCCAAATTTCAGCTTGAGAAAATTCCACCTCCAAGTTTGCAACTTCAGGAGAAGAGAGTTTTGAGTGAAAGGGGCCAAGAATTTTTGGTGTTGATTTTCACTTTTCCTTGAAAAATGAAGAGAAGTGATTACAAACCTTCTCCTTAATTAGAATAGGATCATTAATACAGACTCCATTGATTGATAGGGCTCCTAGAAAATTCTTTCTATGTCTAGTGGTTGCTACCCTATGAAAGAATTTTGTATTTTTATCACCTTCAGAAAACTAGGTCTGTCTTGATTTTTGTAGCCATGTTTGTTCGATGAGCCTAAGGAATTTCCATAGATCAAGCTTTAACTTCCTCCTCAATGAATTTTCCTCCTCTGATAGAGCTTGATTTTCTTGAATTAGGTCTAGAGAATAAAGCTGCTCCTCGATCTTATATAGACTTTCATTCAGATTGCCAAAGGTTTTTGAATTCCATGATTTTAGTGTAGATTTTACTTCTTTAAGTTTCATGAAAACTCTGAAACCAGCCCAACCTAAGATTGAACAATTATTCCAAGCTTCCTTGACTATTTTAGTGAAGCCAGGATGAGATGCCCACGCATTAAGGGATCGAAATGGTTTTGGACCCCAGTCTCTATTATCATCCATAATCAAAACTGGGCAATGATCTAATAGAAGCCTCTGCAATCCCCACTGTTTGATGTTGAACTTTTCAACCCATTCAGGGTGACAAATAAACCTATCAATTCTGCTCCATCTATTGGCATCTTGATTGTTAGACCAAGTAAAGTTTCTACCCAGTAGAGGAAGATTGCATAATTCCAGATTACTGATGAAGTCATTAAATTGTCTCATCCCTTGGTTGATTCTGAGACAATTTTTCCTTTCACTGATTTTGCAAACTTCATTGATGTCACCGCCTATACACGAAGGGAGTGTGAATCGAGACCTGAGATTACTAATTTCATCCCATAAGATCTTTCTATCACCAGGATCATTAGACGCATAAACATTTATTAAAATGCATTCAAAGTCAAGAACAATTTTGCCTTTTAGGAGAATAAAATGCTTGTTTTGAACAACTTCATCCAATGAAAACACGTCTAGATCCCATGCACATAAAATGCCTCCCGCTAGACTAGAGGCATCAACTGAAGCAAAATCAAAGTTTGTAGAAGGCCAAAAAGAGTTTACCATATTACGATTAATTGAATCCGTTTTAGTTTGTTGTACAAAGAGAATGTCTACTTTCCTTTGAGATAAGAGTCTCCTAATCCCTCTTCTCTTTTCCCTCCTTCCCAAACCTCTGATGTCCTAAGAAATAATCTTCATTAAAAGGTTGATATAATCCTTCAAAGTGGTTTATATAGTGAGAATTAGTTTCCTTGAGTTCCATCCCCATGTTCATGAATTGTGCCATCATTATCGAGCTCATAGAGTTTGCTAACCACTTCATCATCTGGTTCATTATTTCTAATCCCCAGCCATTTCCCGATTTCCTAACAAGCTTGTGCTTCATTTAGAATAATGCGATTACGATTGGCAATTGCATCATCTGAAATTAAAAGCGAAATAGAAGCAATCGATGATCTGAAGGTAGCTGACTTACCACCTTTTTTCTTTCACCTTTTCGATTTTTTGATTCAGCTCTAAAGTTGCCCAAAATGTCACCAATAACTCTCATTTTACTCTTTCTTTTGGAGATGGCTTCAATCTTTTTCAAGTGTTTGTATTCCAATTAGTTCGTAAGATATTCTTATATTCCAATAAGTCCTATTATTTGAACATTAGATCTACCAAATCATAATTTTCATATTTAAAGAATTTTATGGACATCTCTACCCTTACAAATATTTTTTGAATGGTTAGTAATTTAGTGATGTGAATATTCGTATTTTACAATGTGAATATTCACATTGACGTGTGAATGTTCACATTGACAGTGTGAACGTTCACATTGATATGTTAACATTCACATTGACGGTGTGAATATTCACATCACGGAACATTTACACTGTAAATGTGAATATTATTAGGCATATTTTGGTAACTATATCACTCATAGGACTTATTGGAATATAAAAAATAATGTAAACTAAATGGAACATAAGTAGATGAAAAAGAATTTATGAAAAAGTGCTCCATGTTCTTATTTGTCTATTATTTCGGGTTATACTAGGATTGGAATTGCTCTATTTTGAATGAGCTTACAGTTGGCAATGTTGCACAAAACAAACTAAACATGAAGCATTTTAAATGCACCATAATTATTTAGTTGGATATCTCAATTCTTTTCACATCACAATTTAAAATTTGAATATTTTTCTTAATACTCCAAATAATACAAATTCTATCCCTAAAAATTTCAAACTATTTTTTGAATACTCCACATACACAACCCATCATGGTCCTCGAACACCCTCATTTTCCTTTACCACTCTTCAAACATTGTCAATATTTATTGTCTGAAAATGAGATTATATGATTTTTACCAAATCCCTCAGTTGTTGTAACCTTTCTGGATAGGAGGTTAAGGAGGTGTTGATAGATGATGAAGATGGTGACAGGGGAGGGAGGGATAGGTGTGGCGGTGGAGGGCTACCGTGATTACCGAAGGTGTAGGTGATGACAATGACAGCGGTTGAAGATGGAGATGAGGTGACTGGTGGGTGTCCAAACAAATAGTGATTTTATTCATTTTTTTAGTAATTTTAGTTTGGAATAAAATTACAATAAAAAATTACTACAAATATGATTTTTTTTTTTATGAAAAAAGAAAAGTGCATTTAGAGGCACCCCAAGCAAACACCTCATTAGTTTTTGTGCAAACTTTTTTATTTTTGATTTTCTTGAAAGAATAAGCATTTTCCGTTGAGGAAATGTAGTTGCTTTGTATTTGTGAGGAGTGGTTCTACAATATTTCTTTAATCCAAACAGTCTTTTGTTTAATCCTCGCTTCGGTGCCTAAAACAGGAAACACTCCGGTCAGGAATGTCGAAATTAGTACTCCAACGGATAAGTTAGATGATGAAGGGTGATATGGAGGTGTAATCAACGATATGGTGGTCAAGTCTAGCGTTGAATAGTTTGTTTTTAGAGAACTTCAAAGAGACATTCTCGTATATAGAGTTTCATTTACTAATATTGCATTTGATTCATGAATTTGAGTATGGATTTAGAAACATAAAGGAAAAAGATAAATGATCTGTGAAGAAATATAACTAGATTTCATACACTTTTTTTCTTTCACTTCCAAATTTCTTTCCTAAATCGATGAATCAAACATAACTTAAGAAAGAAAATAAATTTTAGCAATAATATTATTATGCCTATATTCATATAGTTAAAATATTAAAAAGTGTTTCATGAGTATTGTTTAATATTAGAATTGATATAAAAAGTGCCTTGAGAATAAATAAATAAATAATTTCAAAATATACATTAATTTTAACAAAAATGCATTAAATTCAATAAAAAATATATTGTATTTTTAAATTTTTTGTCTTTTTCTTATATGCTAGGGACATTTGTTAATAAAATTACCATAAAAAATTATCATCTCATACGTCATGTTAGATTGGTTTAAAGGTCACTCATGTCTCTTATGTAAATGTTAGCTTGGTTTAAAGGTCCCCCTACTAACGTCTCTTATGGAAATTAACAAATGTGTGATGGTAAACACTCATCTTAACTTTCAAATAATTAATTTTATTTATTGATTTAAGTTTAACTACAAATAATAATTGTATTAAACAATCACTACAGGAAAATGGCAAATTAGCGGCGTTTTTTAAAAACGCCGCAAAATGCCGGGAAAACGCTGCAAAAAGATAAGACGACATTTAAAAAATTCGTCGCTAATACGGCTGCCGTCATATCTTTGTGGCGTTTTCAAAACACCACTATAGAGTTTAGACGACGTTTTTTAAAAATGTCACTAATTTTTAACAGCTGTTTGACTATTTCCGTCAGAGTTAACTATGACGTAAGCAATGATGACATTTTGCGATGTTTTTATGAAAAACGCCACTTTTTCTTTGCATTTAAAAAAAAAAATCATAATTAATGATTTTTTTTACTGCTGTTCAAAGCAAACCACCCATCTATCACCATTTTCAAAATATATAAAAATAAATAAAAAAAAATTACTAATATGGAGAACTCATTTTTCAATTTTTCATTTTTCAATTTTCCACAATCAAAAAAAAAAAAAAAAAAACCCTTTTAACACAATATGTTAACTCAATACATAAAAATAAAAATTGCTAATATTTTCTCATTTTAATGAAAAAAAAAAACAATAATATAGAGTGCACTCTGGTATTTAGCTTCAAGTTAGCTTCAAGGGCTGCTCTATCGAAAAACTTCACCCCAGCTCATCATCTTGGCTCTGCAATAATAGAGCAAAGCATTACACTTCAACACACCCAATAAATCATATGTTCAAGAGAATTAAGGACATTTCCATAAATATCCATATAATCAACAATTCAACATCACTAAAACATGTTGGTGAATAGAAACCAAGCTATACAACATCAATTTTCAGTCCTATCAATAAGATTGTATATATTGAAAGCAAACCTAAAGCTCTTTGAGAACATCAACTCGCTTATGAATATAATTGCAAAAAATATATTTATAGAGAAGACTCTAAATTTATAACTGCAAAAAATATATTCAACCAGTAGATTTAACAATTACGTTGTCAAATTGTTCAAAATACACAGCCTCATACTAAATTTTCCCCTGTAACTCTTGCAAAGTAAAAGAAATCAAAAAGCCACAAAAGGAAAGAAATGCAGACCATCATAAAGCCTGTCAAATAACTGGCATCTTTACATGCAACAATATCAAAATAATTCCAGAAAGAAAACAACTAGCAGCATTCTTATTCTTATACATAAGCACTTCAAAACAATCTAATTCTCATTACCGAATCCATAATCAAGTTACAGCATTCTCACGACAACTTAAAAGATCATTAAAAAATACAAGTATGATGTGAAGAAAGATATTACACACACAACAAATAATAAGATAGCAGCGGAAGGGTTAGATAACAACACACAGAAGCAAACAAATTTAACCAAGCTTTAGTGTTTTCACCCACATGGGTATTTTTAGATTAAATCCCTTCAATAACTAGAACATAATTTAAGTTGCAACTAGAATGAGGCAAGTATCATGGAAAAGACTTATATAAAATGACTCTAGATCCAAGAATAGATATCCATTCATATGTCATTATCATCAGTGTAATGACATAGCATATGAAGATCTCAATGTTCATCAAAACTGACCTGAACTATCAAAACTGTCCTGAATACTTGGGAATGATGTATCTTCAACAAAGCACTGAAAAAGAAAGCCTCCTAAGAGCCCGGATCTGAAAACCATTATGTACCCGACAACTGTGATCATCAAATTTCAATTGTCATCTTTTGTTATTTGACTAATCTTTAGGCAAAAATAATAATAATAATAATAATTTGGCTCACTCTAACAAATAAAATTAATTAGTTGAGACCAAACCTGCATCAGTCTTCACATTTGCAAAAATTGAAGCTACTAGAAAAGCCAATGAAATTTGCAAGTTTACGTAGATAAAATAAAACACAAATTGGATGCTGTAGTCATTGAGTGCGAAGAATTTCAACCTTGCATCAAAATCAACAGTTTTAAAGCAACTTGATTAAAAAAAGTAAGAAGAAATACAGTAGTCCATTTCTTGTCTTATTACCTATAACTGAGCCAAATAACACAAAACATAACATTTAGGCCAAATATATGACAAGAAAATAAGCATAAGTAATCATCCAATAAGGGCCGGCGCCAAACCCATGCATTTTCATCATGATTCTTAGCTTTTGTTGCTTCTTGTAAACCAAAGATGTCAATATGACCTGCATAAATAGGGAAAATAATTAAAGTTTATTACCATCTATAAGAATGAAACAAATAACATCTTCCTAAATAATATACCAACAGATATCAGATGCAATCATTTCATTGACTATAAAACACAACATCCATGCTTCAAATACTCTAATTCAAACAAACACCACTGTTGGTGAAAAAGAAGAGGAAAAAAAATACTCACAGGGAGTAATTAAAGAATGACCCATGTAAAGAAGAGTGATCCAAGGACAGAAGCGAGATCTATCTTGATTTGGGTCTCAAGCTTGGGCATTTCG